AAAAAAAAAAAAACTTAGTATGCCTACAACCCAAAAGTAGGGAAGGCTGAACACTCGGAGAGCATGAATTTTCAAAATGTGTCTCTATACTGAACAGCCAACAAATCTGTAATCGTAGCAATGCCATGAAATGTTGAAAATTAATTTTAGAATTTCCTCAGGCAACCCATGGAAACAAGATGAAGATCTGACAGCAGCAACGCCTGGGAATACTCTTAATCATAATATTAATTTGCCCAATAGTTTAATTAGGTATATTAATATAACGTTCATCATAACCAAAGCCATAATTGAACTGAGCCAAAATTGATTGCCCTACTGTAAACTGAAAACATACCTGAAAATGTAAAAAAAGAAAAAGAAACAAAACAGATATATAGCAGAAACAGAACGGATTGTCTTTTAAGTTCAGTATCTAAACGGCGCATTTCCTTCATATATAGTATTATATTAAATAAATATAGTTCTTAATTATTAGTATTAAATCAAGGAAGCAAAGTCACATCAGCAATACTGTAAACTTTTTGCATGCAATTCTTTTCAACCATGTAATTTTTGTAAATTTCCACCGATAATTATTGTCAATAAACATCAAACACTGTAGTTGTGCTCTCTTTTATTTACGCTTCCTTAGTTAATGTAATTGGGATTTAACTAGAAATAAAATATGCTCATTAAGAAGGGAAATCTCCTTGCTGGGAATATTATTATGGACTTAATCATAGCATTTATGCAAATACTTCCATTTCCAGACGTCAATTTTGATGTTAAGATCTCCCCTGTCCATAGTATGGATATTGGCCATCATAAAGTTTTTAATTTTAAAGACGTTAATCCTTAAGATTTCTTGATGACATAGAAAAGTATAAGGATATAAAATCTAATCGGAGATAACTGTCAGGTTGTAATATAAAGCTCACAAGCTACATGATTTTCTTAGTTAGTGAAGAGCATTGGTTGGTTGGGAGTAACCTAAGTATTTCCAGAAGTATATCGTTTATTTAATGTGTTTTTATGTTGTATGTACTTGAGAATTTCGATTTTCTGAGAAGTATTAATTTAGTCAAATTTCCCACTGAGAGCATGCATCATATTTGCAATTCAACCTAAGTAGTAAACCACGGAAATATTAGCAACAGTGAAAAACCGCATGGATCAAGAAGCACACAAGTCACAGATGGGATATTTCACAATTTCCCATTTGGATGTAAAAAGCTGGATATGTTTGCAAATTTAGGCAAAACATATGCCAGTGAATTAGTTCATCAGGTATTAAGCAACCTGTCGAAATTTCATTGCGTGTTGCGTTACTAAAATATGCAAAATCGGCGTACAAAACTCCGATTTAGATACAATCTCGATACCAAAGCATGAACCTTAAAAATAATCGCAATTTATAATAATTTTCAGTCCACGGTCACTTACACTTCCTCGACAAGCCGATCCTTTCCGGCGTTTATAAAGGGGACATTTCCTCGGCATATTATTGACAAACACCCAACCCTCATAAATTGCAAACTACCCCTAGTCATCCCCCTACAACTGGAAATATAAAAACGTTGCATTTTTTACTCGAGAACGCGACCGAAGATTCCAGCGTGTTGTGGGAAAAGAGTCAAAACCAGATAATAAAGATAAGAAATATAGGCCATCAACCATGGCTTTAGAATTCATTAATATACAGCGGTTTGCTTCATCATTTCCAATCCATGGATGCAAGCAGGAATGGGCGTACGTTGCTTAAGAATTATTAGATTGGTTTTACGCAATGTTTCTAATGGAGGTTTTTAATTGTTTTCCGTTTTTACGATCCTGGCTGGAACTTGTTTCAATATTTGCCACAATTATTACAGATTGGGTGTTAGATGACCATTTGGGGAAAGTTAAAAATGGGGCGAGTGTAATTGCCTCAAACTAAAAAGCTCATTATTGAAAAGAATTCGTCAACTTGAGATCTAGTTCTAGGGCTTTTATACCTATAATGCCAAACTGTTCTTCGCTATTTTTCGATTATACTGGTGAGGAATTCCACTGCAAAAAAAGAGCTCAAGTTTTGAAAAAGCTTAATTGACTGATTTTCAGTCGGCCTATTAGAGATTTTTTTAAGGCAAAATATCCTCACATCTTTTATTACGAGTGCTCTTATTTCTCAACAAAAAACCAGTCGTCAAATCAAAAAAGTTTCGAATATATAAAATTCTTGCAACTTGTCACAAAGGTGTTACTCACAAATGCCCAGGCATGTCTTGAACTGGCGGAAGCAAAACCGCAAAATTTACATCCGGGTTTAGATGATTCGGATGGGTGATTCGTGTACAATTTGATGAATCATCCTCCAAATAGGACGACACCTCGTGCTATCCAAACCGACAAGTGGAATTCCGAAAACTGATAGATCCGATTTTATTATAAAACATTAATGTGCCTAACCTTGACAGGATTGCACAAATATCAGCGTTTAAATACGAACGTACTAGATTCTCTATTGACTTTTTCGATGATTGTTAAATACTTGAAAAATGTAAACAATTGTCTTCGCTATATAACAAAACTGAACCGTTATCGACCGAAAATGCATAGGTGCTTAAAATTAACCTCGTTTCTTGGACCAACAATGAATGCTACCTTGAATGTGCGTGCACTCACGCTAAAAGCTTTTGAATATTAAAATATCATTTCAAGTCAATTTGTAGTCCTAAGGTTACATTGACAACTGACTATTATTTATTAACTTACGCGTTTCGCTAATAAAAAAAACAGTCTTAATAGGTTTTAATTGGCGCAAAATTAAGAACAATGTTTGTTGGCAGAATAAAACCTTATCCAAATTAACAAGATTTTAGTAGTGTACTTGTTTATCTAAACGCTTAGCTAACGTGAGTTTTTAGTTAGTGAAACATTTAACTCTGCTACAGAGTTTTTAAATTAACTTAATAATTTCTTAACATCCTTTAACCTTCTGGTAACAGATACTCAATCAGTTTATCCGTCTGGTTTACGCTCGATTGAAGCAGTGCATAAAATTTCAATTTTTTTTTATCACAGGACCCAACGACTTAAAACTGTGAGCAGAGAGGAACGAAAAAAGAAATCAGCAATAAATTAAAACTAAATACACTAAAAAATCATTTTATTCAACGAACCAACTTGATTTCATTTTTTGCGAGAACAACGAATTATTTCAGCAACTAAAAGCATATCACCAGTTATCGAAATATGTAGATATAGAAAATTGGAGTATTGTTGAGTATACTCCGCTTCGAAGACCGATGGTTCAAATCACTCCCTGACAAAGAAGAAAAATAGCAACTTGCGATGGTGTGGCATGGTCAGGTTTCGATAATATCGTGGAAGCATGTGCGGAAGCAGCTGGGATTATTGGGTCAGCTGTTTAAACAGCTGCTGAGATAATTCTTTTTAATCATTCTCATTTCTTACATAAAAGGCTACTACCTGTCGGGTGTTTTGCTCGAGATAGGCGTATGTTCAATGTACATGTGGTGGCTTTTTGCTTGATCTGCTATGAGGGTACGGATGGCTCGAAACACATGCTGCTTTGTTCAATGTTATACATCATCCAAATCTACTTATTTTATTTTGCCAATTCTCCACAAATCCTTTGACCCAAAATTCTGGTACTTTTTAAGTTCTTAAGATTAGTTCATAAATAACTTTCCCGCCAAGCCACTGATGAAATCTAGCTGTTCTTCACGCACACGCATTTATAATTTAATTATGCATCTCTGTGGGGGAAAATATGTATTACTTTCACTACTAGAAACGAAATTAAGAAAATTTGTATGATAGTTTAAAAACGTTTGCCGTTTAATCGCGCGCTGTTTTTCTGAGGGTATAATATAAGCAGTGGGCGTCTTGCCATTAAACGCCGGCAAGTTCGCAACATTTTTCAAAAAATGTAATTTATTAATGTCACAGTTGAATATATAGGAAACTCTGTGTATTGCGACTAATTAACTGATAAGCCAATGCGGGTAATTTAGTATGTGTGCAATTAATGCGCCTTTCGGTCACTTCCGAATGTTTATCCTAGTTTCATAAAGTGTTCCTGGGCTTAATTAGGCAATTGCTTTACTTTTCACTAATTCCCAGTTCCTTATTCATATAGGTATTTTTTTTAAATAATTTGTAATGTTGCAATTCATATGTTGTTGTAATTCATAAATTGTAGAACTAATCTGCTTTCAAAAGTTAAAATACATCGCAATTCATTGCAAGTCTTATGTTGTGTGCTTTTTTTGATTCAAAGTCGTTTTCGGGAAATATTTTCTATTATTTCTTATGGCGCTACCAGACCTAACGAGCCGAGCCTAGCCTGGTCCGCGACAAATTATTTTGATATTTTGTTAAAACATCGACAGAAAATCGATTGTCTTGTGTTTTGACGAAACATTCAATACATTTTACGCGGCTCAGGTTCGGTTTGTTAGTAGGCCTGGGTAACTCTGCATTTTTAGGAGTTAGCGCAGTGCCACGCAAATGGCTTGGTGCGCCAACCCAACGCACCGGCGCAGTAATTCAGTTCCGTTGCTGAGAAAATGTTGATGACTTTTTACTTGTTTTTAGATTTACTTAAAGGTCATTTATTAATAGCATTTTTTTAATTTCTTCAAAATTTTAGAACTTGGACGATGGTCGATGAAGACTGTAGAGTTTGTTAAAAAAAATGTGGTTTTTTAGCTTGGACTTAATTTCTCTTTGCTTTCCTTTCTACTTAAAAACGCTCCATTTTGTGGAGTCTTTTACGCAAAAAATTACAAGATAAATTTATAGTTTTGTCAAAATTTTACAAAAACTTTTTTCAGTCAAATTCGAGACAAAAACGAAAATAACTTCCTCCCATTTTTCCCCGAAAACCATTAAGGTACGCTAAAACGCAAAAAATACTATTATTTTCTGATGACTTCCTACTTTTCTGACAATAATGGGGTATTTTCAGCCACAAATGACAAAATTAATTTTGCCAGAAAATTCGCCTCATTCATCCGGTTGCAGGGAACTTTAGAAAACCCTTTTCAGCCTCGCATTTGGCACAAAAAAACATATAATTTTATTCAGTTTTTACCGAAAGTAATTAAGATTATCAGGAAAAAACGATCAGATAGCAAAAGTTTACAAAACATTATTGGAAAACTCGCTGCCCTCATCGATCTGAAGATTTTTAAAGTTCCTTTAAATTTTCAGGTCATCGTAGTTTTAACAAAGTTTGTATTAAGCAATTCTTTCTACGCAAAAATCGCATAATTTTTTAGTTAAAATACCTTAACTTCTTTCTCTCTTCAGGTATTTTCGGTGGAAAATTAAAAGATAAATTTCATTGGTACATATAATGACAAACTGAATCTGTTCTGCAAAAAAATTAAGAGATCGATTTTACAAGACAAGAAAACTCGTCGACTTTCTTTGGACTCCGTTCTGTTGCTGGAAAAATCTTGATGACTTGTTTTAGTTGTTTGAACAAAGTAGTAAAAGGCTCAGAAACTGTTGATACCCTTTATTTTGAGATTAAAAAATATAAAATTTCAGACAACAATCCACCCAAATGCTCAGTTTATTTAACTTTGTTAATTATTTAAAATAAAACT